GAGCACCAGGAACTCGGAGTGAGCTGTGTCAGAGCAGTGCTGGTGTTCAGCACTTTGGGAGGTGCTCTGGGGGAGGTGACTGAGGTTTCCTCTCCCTTGGATGCAGGATGACCTGCTGCTGAGGCAGCTCCTGCTCCACTTTGCCCATGGCACCACAGCCCTGGTGCTGGAGGTGCCTTTGAAGTGTCAGGAGCTGCCTGGGGAGGAAAATGGGCCTTTGAAACTCCACAAACAATGTGCTGCTTTTTTTTTTTTTTTCCTCCTCCCCCAGAGCACTTTTGCTTTCAGATGTAAATTTTCTCTTCCTTGTAGCTCAGCCTTAGTTTTGCTTTTTTTTTTTCCCTTGGTTTCCTCCAAGAGTGACTTGTCTCTTCCTGTTGGTGAGAGGTGTAGCCAGGGGAACTGAGCTGGAGAGAGGAGGAGATGCAAATCCTTCCTGCTGAGCTGGGAGGACCCAACTGGCAAAGTGCTGAGTGATGAATTGTTTTGCTTTTAAAAAAAAAGAATGGAAAAAAAGGCCTGGATAAGAGAGGGAGCTGTGAAATCTTCCCCCAGATATAAATAACCTCTCAGTGGAAACACCTACACTGCTAATGAAAGGAGAGAGAAGAGCCAGCAGAGAGATTTTTTGGGGGGTTTGTAGAGAAAAATTGCATCACCCTGAAGGTAATTAAACATGGAGTATAAAACCTAGAAATGAGGAATAAAAATAACACCACGGGCTGGAATTCTGTGGCATCAAAACCCTGGGAAATGTGGTTTTCTCTATCCCCCCCCTCCCCGTGCGTTGTTTGTACAGATGAAGTGCTGAAAGCAGAGCAGCTTTTGGGGCAGAATGAAGGGGTTTGGTCACTCAGGAGCAGTGGAGGCTGGAGAAGGGAATGTGTTTTAGTTGCTGTGCTCCAGTGAGTCGTGGTTGTGTCAGCCTAGCTAAGCTGGACTCAGGGCTCTGTGAGAGGCAGGTTGGGTTGGTTGAACTGCCCTGGACTTTATTGGTGTGCTCTGGAAGACAGAGCTGCTCCTAAATGCCCACGTGTGTCGAGTGGGAAGGTTGCAAAACAGCCAATAATTTGGGATTGATGGGAGTGGCAGCTGAGCCAGAGGGGTGGGGATCTACCTTTTCTGGACTTGGTGGGTCATGCTTCAAACAGCAGAAAAAAACTGCAGTTGGAGAGTTCTGGCTTTGGCATTATTGGGCTTTCTGTGGAAATCCAAACTGCTCTGCAGGAGGGGGCTGTGAGGGGGGTTAAGGTGGATTTTCTTGGCAAAGCTGCTGATGCTGGAGGCCCTCAGAGGCTCCTGAGCTCCCAGTCTGGGCAGTGCCACAGGGAAGAGTCTGGGCAGTGCCACAGCTCCAATGTCCCTGGGCACGGGGAGCTTGGGGTTTGGGGTGGAAGTTGTGGGGTTTCTACCTCGAGGGTTTCACTGCACACCCTGTGCACGTGTGGGGCTGGGGTTTGCTCCAGCTGCCTGGGAGCATGAGGCTGGAGCTGATCCAGGCTGGAATTCGGGCCCTGCTTTATTTACATTCCACATGTCCCAGCCCCATCCTACCTGTCCTGGCAGGGCCCCGGGTGACCTGGAAGTGCTGAGGGAAAATGCTGAGTCAGGCTGTGGGACAGGGCAGCTGCAGCACTTGGAATGCTGAGGTTTGAAAATCACCTTTCTTCTGCTTTCCTTTCCCTGTCAGGCACCTCCCTGGGCATACATTGCTTGTGCTTGTGGCCTTTTCATCTACCAGTCCCTGGATGCCATAGATGGAAAACAAGCCAGGAGGACAAACAGCAGCACTCCCCTGGGAGAGCTCTTTGATCATGGCTGTGATTCCCTGTCCACAGGTATTGCTGTTATTTCTAGTTGAACTCGGAGGATTAAGTGACTCTTATTTCAGGGATTAAATCTGCAATGCCCCCCCCAAAAAAGAAAAAGCTTTTTTTACTGAATGCAGGACTGAAAGGATCATTTTTCAGCTCAGAAAGTCACCTTTCTTTGCACCCTGGACCAGCTGAGTTGTCTCCTCTTGTGTTCCACTGAAAACAAAACGAAGCATGTGGCTGATTCAGCCTGAGCCAGCACTTTTCTGGGAGGGTTCAGCAGAGTCTTGGCTCTCAAACATTGTCTGTAGGAGTCCTCAGAATGCTCTGTTGGGTTATTTTGGGGTGACTCTCTAGGCAGGTCTGAAGCCCGAGCAGTGGGACTCTGCAAGTCTTGAGTTTAGGATTAAAAGATTAAAATTAAGATTAAAATCAACCAGATCAGTTCCTGGGAAGGTGGAGGGCACTGAGCCAGCCTGAACTTTAACCCCATTGGAAAAAAAGTCCTGGAATATCCTGAGTTGGAAGGGTTCCACAGGGATCACAGAGTCTAGCTCCTGGTCAGGTGGTTTGGGTTCCTGAAATTCTAAAGCTTTAAGTTTTTAGGAATTCTCTAGCAAAACTGTGTGTGAAAATGTGGAGGGGAAAGCACAGATCCATTGGGAATCCCGAATGACAGACCTTGGATTCCATAAATCAGAAAATGGTGGGGGGGAATGCCCAGCAAATCTTGGATCCAGGAGAAAACCCCCAGACCTGCACAAACTACCCGAGTCCCTTCATGGGACTGTTTAGTGGAGTAAAAAGATGGGAGACTGAGAAACCCTCAATCCTGCAGACTTCTAGTGACTGATGTGCATTTCAATACCCATTTTGCAGTTTTAATTATTTCAAACTGAGGTGTTTTGTGCAACCCCCCCCAAGGCCACCCCCAGCACCGGGCCCCGGGTGTAGCTTTGCTTCTGCTGAGGATCTTGACGCCCGTGTCCCACTCCCCCTTTTCACTGAGTGACTGATTTTCTCCTGCAGTCTTTGTGGTTTTGGGAACTTGTATTGCTGTGCAGCTGGGCACCAACCCTGACTGGATGTTCTTTTGTTGTTTTGCTGGGACATTCATGTTTTACTGCGCTCACTGGCAGACCTACGTCTCGGGCACGCTGCGCTTTGGGATGTAAGTACCTCCCCCAGAGCAAACCTGAACCTGACCTCGGTTCTCTGCCTCATTCCCTGCCCACTCTGTGCCCTCTGTGCCCATGTTCCCCTCCCTAGAGCTGCAGAAAATCGTGTGTGTCCGTGGAGACCCTTAGAGCTGGTGGCAGCTGCTGTGGGATTTGTCCCGGGTGTTGCTTGTGAAGTCTCCCTTTGTCCTGGTGGTTAATTAGGAGCTTTTTGATGTGATCTAAAGCTGAATAAAGAATGGGAAGTAGCTGCTGTTCCGTGCCAGGAGGGTTTGGTCAGGTGGTGGCAGTGTGGCTTTAGCACTCAGTTAATCTTGGTGCTGCTGTGACGTGCAGTTAATGTTTGTTATTGACCACAACTCCTCAGATTCTCTGGAATAACTGAGACTGAGCCTCCAGATTAAAGTCCTGAACCCCTTTGGGTTGGTGTAGGCTGGGATTCTGTTCATATGGAATGAGAATTCTGTTAATGATGGAATGAAAATTGCAATGCCAAGGAAGTGAAGAGCTGAAATCCCTTTTCCTGCTGGGTGGGGGGTGGGACACAAGGATTCTCTGGCCTTAGTGGGGAAATAAATGTGTTTTATTTGAGGATTTATTCTCTGTTTGCATCCCTAGGGTTAACAAATTTATTTCAGATAAATGGGCTGCAGAATGGAGGGGGGGGGTTGGCAGCTGGGAACTGAAATTTGCCATCAGTTTGTGGGATTTGGAAACAATTCTACAACAGCCCCACCCAAGAGTCTGACAGAGTGTTATTCAGTTTATCATCCTGGATCTGTAGGTACCCAGATGCTGCTAAACCAGTACAAAGATGGGCCTTGTGTCCAGGGCAGGACACTGCTTTGAGAGTGCAGATTCTCATGAGAAATTTGGGTTTCTGCTCCAAACTTTCAGGATTTGGAGCAGTTTTCAGTGTGTGTTGGAGGAAGAAAATTAAACAACCCAGATTTCTCCTCTATTCCTGTTCTACCCCTCATTGCACCAAAGCAGATTGACTGGAATGTTCTGTCCTGGTGCTGAAATCTTTCCAATGACACCTGGCTCTGATTTTTTCCTGTTTTTGGGTCTCTCTTTGATCCTGTACCAAAGGTCTGAGTGCTTTTGGCTCCCTTGGAACTTCCCAGGGTCCTGATAACCCAAGATTTCTGGTTGTTGAGCAAAGAACACAAAAAACAAACCCCAGCCTTGGCACGTGCTTGACTTTGGGGCTGGGTTGTTGGGAGGGTCAGCACTTTGGGGGCAGCATTTTTGTGGTGGATCAGCTTTGTAATATAAAATAAATGTAATAAAATAGATTACAGATAATAGAGTATATTATAAATAGAATATAATGTATTCTATAGAATAGAATATATGTATTATATATATTCTATAGAATAGAATATATATAGAATAGAATATAAAATATAAACATATAGATATAAAATATAAGAATATAATATAAAATATAAAAATATAAATATAAAAATATAAAATATATGTATATAATATAAAATAGATAAATATAACTATATACACTATAAAATATATACACTATAAAATATAACTATATACCCTATATAAACTATAAAATATAGAAATATAATATTATATATAAATATAAACGTAAAATATATAAGCATACACTATAAAATATAAAAATATAATATATCTAAATAGAAAACATTATAGATAATATGTATAATACAAATTTATATAAATTAATTATAATTTTATATACTATAAATATAATCTAAAATAAACCCCATCTATAAATATATGATATAAAAACGTGATGTTCCATCAGTTCAGAGAAGGCCCAAAGCCCCCACACTGTGGGTCATTGTTTGGGGTGTCCCTGCCCCGGGAAATGAACCCATTTATTCTCCCTGGGCCCCAGGCTCCTGATTTTGAGGGGCTGACCTTCCTTGTCCTGGCAAACCCCGGGATTGTTCCTCATCCTGGCAAACCCCGGG